CCAACTCTAACCATTCTATGATTCTATCCCAGCTGGGCTGCCCAGTGTGCCAGAACCAGAAATACCCTCACCCCAGGAGTAAATAAGCCATCCTGACAAAAACCAGTTATACCAGCATGAATATATTTATATATCTCCTTAGTGTGTGCTGTGTTGGTCAGAGGTTGCCCTTCTCTTTACCTCTATGGGGAAAATGTGTGGCATAAACTTACTCGTAGAGGATTAAGCTACAGTGAGCAAAGGCCACTTTGCATCTGAGCAAGATTGGCCATGCAGGTGTTTTACGCGCTGTAATATTGCACTTCAATTAATTCTCTCCACTTTCCTCGACAAAAGCCCCAGGACGGGTCGGCTGTGCAGATGTCAGCTTCCAGGCTGCAGGTATTTTGGCGTGAGGACTGCTTCAAGTGTTGGAATTTCATAATTTTTCTGTCACTCAGGAGCCTGAATCATCTTTTCTTAGACTTAAACCAGACGGTTTCACTCCTGGCAAGCTGAAGCCTGGAACATTTCAGCTTTGTAAGTGAAAATAAAGATCCACCAATGACCGTAGGAGCCCAGCTTGGGAAAACTGGGGCTACCTTTATTGTAAATATCACTTCTAGGCTGCATCATGTCAAGTTCTGCTGCCGCGTGCATGTACATGCTCCAGGAATATTTCCATTACTGTTTCCACCTGCTCTTCATTTACCAACGGAGGGAGGTTTCCAGGCAGCTTCTCAGTCTCTGGAAGGCTTTGTGAATTCTTTTTTTTTGCCTTACCCTCTTAGGAACTGGAAAAGCATCCTCTAGGAAGGAAGCAGAGTGCAGTGACTCTGCCACGCTCCTGTATCCCTTTTATCAAGAAAATTTTAATGCAGACTTTTATACCTAAGAACGTTGCGTGCTGTCAGTAGCAATCAGCTTGTGTTGATGATTTTCAGCGCAAGAAGCACTGTGAAATTTAGCCTTGGACTTTCATCTTTCTTACTGCTGCTTCTGAAGTAGATCCGTAGGGAAAAAAATATAATTAATATTTTTGTATTACTGATTACCCAGTGCTTGAGTTATTTAATAAAATAATTTAAAATGCATCCCTTGGTCTTTTTAAATAAGCTACACTGCGTGGCGGGGCTCTTACTTTTATTGTGTCGGAGTTACAGTAGTAGAAAGATGGAAAACGGTGCTGAGGTGGCACTTGAAGCAGATACTCGTTGTGACTCATGTGGCTCTAATGAACTTCATTAGCTCTTTGATATGAAGCCATTTGTTGAGCGTGCTTGTCTCAAATTAGGGCTGTCTGCAGCCAATTGTTGATCAGAATGAAGGATAAAAGTTTCCACTTATTCCAGTCTAGTTTTCACACCGGATTCGGAGCTCTGTTGCTGGTTATCGTGCTCTTCTGGATCTTCAGTGAGGCTCATCCTGCTGGAAGTGCCACAAACCACCAAGGACCCTCCATATGAAGGAATCAAGTGGCACCCAGCCCCTGGCACAATCTCTGGGTGCTGGGG